AATAAACAATACTTTAAGCCATAATTCTTGTCTCAATAAATACAGAAGAACTGAAATAATCTCTCGCATTTTAATATCACAATAGAATGAAATTAGAAATCAATAACACTAGATAAGGCACTCAACAGAAATTGAACAACAGACTTTTAAATGATCAAAGGATCATAGAAGAAATTTTAAAATTCCTAGCACTGAATGAAAATGAAAATATTATCATAATTTGTGAGCTACAATGAAAGCAGTTCTAAAATACTAAAACCCTGAAAATAGTAATTAAAAGGTAGGAGCACATATCCACAAGCACTTCTTAACCAGTAAGCATAAGAGCTAGTTGGAGCTGGGAGCTACCCTAAATGTCTTGCATTTGTTATCTTTTAATCCATATCACAATCCAGTAAGGCAGGTACTGTTATAATTCCATTTTAAAGCTTAAAAATTGAGACTCAATAAATTAAGTAACTTTCCCAAGGTACACAGTAAATTTGGAGGCAAATAAGATTTTAATATGTAAATCAGTGAGAGAGAAAGACACTTCTGTTTGTATTATGATTCACAATAAAAATAATTAAAATAGTTACAAGTATTATTTTTTAATTGGAAATCATTAAATTCCAAAAATAAAGGAATAAATTTTGGCTCATCTTGAAAGAACTAAAAGTCATTATGAAGATTCTGTGGAAGCCTTGGAAATATATGAAATATAACAAGTTAAAAATTATCAAATGTAAATTGCATGTATGTTGCAGTTAAAGACTTATAAAATACTATATAGTTATAAAATACTGAAATGAATGAATACACAACAAAGTGAAGTATTAAGAGTGAAACATTATTTTGGTGGAATAATGGTTAGCTTTTCTCTTTTTACTAATACCCCAAACCACACACTTGCCGTGTCAGGTACTGTTGTCTTATATAAATTACTTTATTCTCGCATTGAGAACTCCTTGAAGTAGGTACAGGAATCATGCTGATTTTATAATTGAGGAAGGGCAGGAAAGAGAATCTAGGTAACATGCTCAGATCCTTAGCAACAGGCATGCCTGGTAAAACCCAGAACTGACATTTTAAGTTTAGAATCTGTACACCTAGTCATATCGTGAGGTCCCCACCACAACTACAGTGCCTATAGAGTTTAAGAGAATAGATAAGTATTTTTCAGATAACATATTTTTTTACTTTTTTCTTGATTATGTAAATTAATGGATTTCTTTTTGTATGCATACATATAACTTAATTTGATCATTTGCACCCTCCCATCAATTCCTCTCACGCCACCCACCCCCGTTAGTTTCACAGTTGATTGGGGGTTCAATGTTTATATGTTACTCATACCTGTCCCCATCTATCAGCTACCCTCACACACCTCCCCCTACTTATTCTCTTCCTCTTGTCTAATAATAGTTTCTCGTCTACTTCCTTATCTCTTTTCTAGGTTTCCAATAAGAAAACATTTTAATGTACAAACGGTCTTCTTTTGAACCCGAGACCGTCATACTGAACTGTTACCACATCGCCAGCCCTTTTTCTATAATTTATTTTGAGACAGTATCTTACTGAGTTGCTCAGTTGCTGTGGTTGGCTCAAACTTGCAATCATTGTACCTCAGCCTCCCAGCAAGGGGTCAGTGTCATAAATCATACAGGTTTACGTGCACACAGCTGACATGGACCACTCCTAAAATTTATCTAATGCAAAATGTTTTCTTACTAATTATACAAAGTAAACTGCTATGAACAGTTGTGGGGCACAGAGGCATAATGTATTGAATCTGTAGTTTCCTTGACTTGTCTTCTTTTTGATTTTAAAAGAAAAAATAAAAACAAAGATACATACTTTCAAGACAATAATAGGAGATTAACAATGGTTAATATATTGCATATTATCTTCAAACCACTTGCTCAGATTACAAGACATAGGCACGAAAAAATGATCAAACAATGAAAGCACAGTTGTTTTTGATGAATGAGCAGAGATTAGTAGTATAATTATCTGTCTTGTGTGTATGTATATATAAAACATACATATAATATTTTCCCTTTTCTTTCTCCTTTTCCAAATCCCAGTTGTCCTCTTGTAAAATTTTTATCACAAATGTGTGTTGGACTTTATCAAAAGCTTTTTCTGTATCTATTTGAGATAATCATGTGAATTTTGTCTTTGGCTTTGCTGTTATGGTGTATTACATTTATTGGTTTGCGTATGTTGAACCATCCCCACATTCCTGGAATGAATCCCACTTGGTCATGATGTATAATCTTCTAGATGATTTGCTGCTTTTTGTGTGCTAGTATTTTTTGAGGATTTTTGCATATATGTTCATTAGCGAGACTACCCTGTAGTTCTCTTTTTAGACTGGGTTTTTGTCTAGTTTTGGTATCAGAGTAATACTTGCCTCCAGGATTAAGTTGGGAAAAATTGTCCATCCATCTCAGTTCTAAGGAGTGTCAGGTATTGCTGGAAGACAGGCATAATGTCTGTTGGACAGGGGGCAGCTAGAAACCCTTGGCATACCTAGAAACAGTCTCTCCAGGTAAAGTTGTTTAACAAATATGTACGGTACAAATTAAGGTTAGTAGTCAAAAGGATCAGGATAAAATATTTACAGTGTATATATGTTTATGCTTGAAAGGGACTTCTGATGTTCTACTAGGACCGGAAAAGAAACGATACTGTTTCAGGCATGTCAAGTTATCATGCATCTAGCACTGCATGCATGGTTGTTGTGCATCGTTTACAACTGAACCCTCTACCTAAGTCATTTCTTCTACAGGTACACAAGCTGGGCCCACCAGTGAAAAATAAATCCTGCTCATTCTGCTCAGTATGGTCTCAAAACTTTCTTCCAAAAAGCAGTCATATGCTTCCTCCCAGCTAATGATAAGCAATCCGAGACTGAATAGGTGTGGTGTGCCATCTTGTGAGCAGGAGAGGCTGTGCAATTTCCTTTCTTAAATGTAATTACTTTTGGGGCTGGGGATTTAGCTCACCGGCATAAGTGCCTGCCTTGCAAGCAGGCAGTCATGAGTTTGATCCCTGGTACCAATAAAAAGGAAAAAGACCAAAAAGTAATTACTTTCCATTTTTATTATTATATACACATTGGCAGTACATAATAATTATGTTCATTTTTGGAATTTGTTACAGGTATATAACATATCTTAATTCTTTTTACTTCTTATTCCTTCCCTTCATGCTATTTTTTAAATGACAAACAACCTCAGCAAAAGCCTGGATGGCAAGCGGTACTCAGGGTCCCAGCCTCTGAAAGTTCCATGTACAATGCATTTGGAAATGTGGGGTATGGAGGTCCTCTGACCCTCTCCCAAGGCCAGCCCTGGACCAAAAAAGAAGCAACTGAAATGGGTCTTGTTTGGGCAAACTGTGGCTTTGCTATAAAAGTAGCACAAAAAGTCATAAACTTGGAGTTGGTGAACAAGTCAATTCCTTCATGTGACATTTGCAAATAAGAAAGACAGACCAGGCAATCCATAGAGGTCCATCTGACGCTAACAATGTGATTCTAGTATTTACAAAAAAATCTCTTCTCTCTGATGTTAACTGGCCTCCAGATTTTTCATCCTTTTGCACATTTTCACCAGTATTCTTGTGAAACGCAGCATTCTATTGTCATTCCTGCAGTAGGGTACACAAAGCTACCCACAACTGGCCCCTTTGGCCTGTGGCTTTTTAGCTACAGCTGTGTTCATTCATTCATTCTAAAGAAAAGCTTCCTATGTGCTTCCCACTGTGTCCCCATAGCAACAGTATCAGAATACTTGGGACTCCTTACTGCCCACTTAACATTGCTTATGTTGTTTCATTGCAAGGAATCCTCTTCTCACATCCTCCTCCAGATCAACTTCTCTGTATCTCACTGCAAATATCATCTTCTTCCTGAAATTTCCCAGCTATTATTTTTTGTGTTTTCCTATCATTTCACACCTTGATCAGAGTGTTTAACGCCCAGGCATGAAGTTACATGTGTACATGCTTAGTGAGATGATATCTTGATACACTCAGCGGTGTAACTTTTTTCCTCCTGCAGTTTTCTTCCTCTTTGTGCTCTCCTCACTATCCAGCCTGAGAATCTTCTATTCATGGCTCATGCGATAGGATTATTATTGTCAAGAGGAACAGAGAAAGGAAAATTCCTTGCACAGAATTGGACAGCTAAGTGGACTTTTGAAGCTCATAACAAACTACAATAGCTGAGAAAGGTTTTTATATTCCAAGAGCCTGACTATTTTAAATACAAAAATTAGTATTTATACCTCAAGCAAAAGATTCTAAAGTGAAAATGTGAAGACCTTGCCTTCCCAGGTACTCCCGTTCCCCTACCAACCAATTGCAAGAATTAGAAAAGGGAATCAGTTTTCTGCAATCTGCCAGTTCTCAAGCCAAGTCCTCGATGGGAAGAAGAATTTATGTTCCACTTCCTTTCTAGAACCTGTAAGCCGGCATCAATGCAGAATTGCCCTGAGCCAGCAGCATGATAGCAGTAAAGGTATGTTGGGGCAAAGCAAAGGAGGCAGGAAAGGGTCTCCGAGTTTCCCAGAGAGGCAAAAAGAATGAAATCTAGAAGTTGGTGTGCTCCAAAGAAGCCTGTGGAAGAATGAAAGATTATCCCCAAAAGATCCAGAAGTCATACAGAAGGAAAATATAAAGTGACCACATGGCCCTAATGACTGGGCTTCCGAGATGACAGCTGCTGACATTGTGTCCTTTCTGTATATATTTCTTAACTTTACTCTGTTGCACGGATGGAATGTAGCACTGTTTGTTTTGTAAAAGAAAGCACCCAGAAGGTTGAAACATTAATGTGTTACCTGGAAACATGAGTTCTGTTTGCACCATTTTCTTTAATTCTCCATGTAACTAGCATTCAGGTACCATTAATAATAAACTAACTCTAATACCAGTGCTCTAATGAGGAAATACAAAACACAAATGAAAGAATGTAGGATTTTGAGATACTTAGAGCTATAAGATCTTTGAGTACAATCTGAGACTAGAAACAAGCACCTCAAACATTTTCAGTTAATATTTTATTATATTATTACTGGATATATTAATTTTTCTGCTAACTGATTATATATTTAACAGATCATAAATACATGGACCATTCCTTCACAAATATAAATATCTACTAGTTCAGGCCAGTATCATTTATGTTTAGCAAATGCTTCCTGTAGACATATTCACCAGATCCTTGTTCACACACTTACCATCCCACCCCAACCCACATGGCCCCTTCTATACCCTCATACATTATGACTGCATTTTCTGTTTCCATTTTAGCAACAGAAATCCCAGGGAAAAGCTCTAGAATGCAGTGGTCATCATGATGAGGTGGTCATGTAACATAATGGGCAGTGGGCTCCATAATGCTCCTCCTCATCCACTTTCATGAGGATGGAAAACTGGAACACATCTGAAGCGTCCTAGGAAAGTAATACTATAGCTAATACAAAGCTTTGAGAATTTCATGCAGGGCTTAGTAAGAGTTCTATGAAGTACAGAGAATGAGGAGTCTGACAGAATTTGCTTCAGGGCACTGGATAAGGAATGGCTTTGCTCCAGCTTCTTCAGTTCAGCTGTCAGGCCACGTGGTGAACGATGGGGGTGACACAAGTGCAGCCAACAGTCACTAGAACTTTCTCCAATTGGAAAGAGTGAGAGCAACCTTGTGGCTTCCTCCGCAGAACCAGGATCTCTTGCTGGATGGCGACGGAGTTCATGGAGTTGTCTTCCTGCCCCTGGGCATTGATGCAGCCTGAGTGTCTGCACCGGGCCTCTACAATCTCAGGGGGGAAGCGGTGGGGGTCCCGGGTGACGCTGCAGGAGAAGCAAGACGAAGCAGAAGGAGAGAGAAGAGGAACAGGGATCAGAGCCCCACAGGGCAGTCTGGAGTCACCCGGGCTGCACAGGCCCAGGAACCAACCTCTGGAAGTTGCTTAACTCCCTACCACTCAGTTTCTTCAAATAGAAAATGGAATTCATACATCATGCTCTCATAGAATAGTCAAGAACATTTTAGTAGTGCAAATGCCTGTAAAGCACCCCTCTGTACAGCATTAGCACCCAATTAACGTTAGTTCTTTTGGTTTACCTTTTTATTCTATAGTGATAATTAGTCCCCATCCTAAAGATTGAGCAGCACCTGTAGGTGTCCCAACATACAATCTATGAACCAGTGCATGGAAAGGAAAACCAAAGCTCGGGTATCTGTGAATCTCACAGCTTCTCTCAATGCTCCCTCAATAGTCAGCTCTGCCTGAGGACATAAAAGCATTAAAGCCAACCAGCTAGTTTGCCACCATGCAGACTCCTGTCATGGAAAGAGACATGGAACGACTCCAAAAGCACTCTTAATCCTCCCTGGAATCTGCTCTCATGCTTATACTTGGAAAGTATAGATGGTTGACTGACTTTCCTAGGACCTGTATCTTTAGGCAAAAATCACAAGAATACCCTGAAGAGGATCACCTGGCATCCCCATCCCAAAAATGGCCTTTCTCTCCCACTCCTCACCTGCATTCTCAAAGTTCAATGCCAAATCTGAGTGCATCTCCTGAAACGGATTTTTTGTTTTCTACTTATTAAAAAATATACATATGAACTGATTTAAAGGAGCTTCTCTGCCAACAGAGAAAATCTGTAATTCTACCTAGGACTACACAAAAAGGACAGAGTCGAAGGGAATGTAGAAGCAAAATATGAGGGCCTTCAATCCCATAGGTGCACCTAACACAAAACAGCAAGAAAAATCTGAGCTCCTAAGGAAAGCGAAACTTCTGTTGATAAGAGTGAATGGTGAGGGTTTTTCTTGTTCTATATTCTAACTTTCCTACCTTATGATTGTTAGGGCTTGTATCTAGATGTCCCCCCAAAGCCTCATGTGGTCGTAGGTGGGGGTTTTCAGAGGTAGCTGGATCCAGCATGTGTGGTGCTGGGATTATGGTGTGTGATTACTAAATCAGCCCCCTGACTGGTTTAGCACAGTTCTGGGTGTCAATAATGGGCAGCCCCACCTGGGTGAGGTGACACTACCTAGAAGGTGAACAGCTCGAAGGAGATTAAAAGAGAAATGCAGGCAGAATCTCACTTTTGCTTTTGCTTCTCCTGCTGCTGCAGCCATTGCTTGCTGTTTGGTGCCTTCTGCCTGTCCTGCCATGTCATGGACTGTTTCTCCTCTGTGACGCCCCTCTGCTGTGCCTCTCTCCCTTAGAATCAGCCATCCAGGGACTGAAACCTCTGCATGTGAGGCAAATAAACCGTTCTTCCTTTAACTTGTGAGCACTGGGTTTTGTCTCAGCAATAAGAAAATAACTGAGACAATGGTTAAAATAAATTAGCATGTTTTCCAAAAGAATGTGAAGAGCCATCTGCCATGCACTTACTTGTAATCCCATGGGGAGCTGGAGCGGTTCCGGAAGTCGTGTGTGATGGGAGTGCCCTGCCTCTGATTGAGGATTCGAATGTCAACTCTGACAGTGTTGTCCACCATAGGAGGGCAATTGCCAGGTTTTTGAAGGTCAGTATTACCCACTCTAAGGGTTTTCCAAGCTGCCACCTCCCTCAGGAGGGTGATCCCCAGCATCAACAGCAGCAGGAACTTGACCTGGAAAATAGGGAAGGTTTGCAGTTGCTTAGAGACACAGTTGTCACTTGCTGGCAAGACACAGTGCGTGCTTTAGCACTCTTGGTCCTTTACTCTAGACCTCAGGTCCTCACCTGGGAATGGAACCAGTCACACTGAAGATATCAGGGCACCCAACTGAAAACCTCATTAGCCCAGTGACTGAAGCCCTCTATTCTCTGATACCCCTTGAGGGGAGACAGAGAGGATCAGGGTCTGGGACTGGGTTAAAATCTTATCCTGGCTTTCCTGTTAAACCCTTGATTTCTCTTCTTCTCAACTGTGTTACAGCAATTACTTCATAGTAATATTAATAACAGTAAATGAGATGTTTAATATAAACCACCCATAAATGTGTCTAACAAAAGTAGAAGCTTAATAAATGATATATTTTGTTTTTAATTCCAACTTCATGTCCCACAGATCCCCAAGGCATCCTTCCTCCCAGCCATTCTTCCTCTTAGAGTCCCCTGCCAGATTCTTCTCTGCCACTAAGGCTCATTCAGAGGTGCTTCGGTTAGAAGTACATTTACCATTGTTAAATAATAAAGCTTTTGCCTTTTATCTCTCAAGCATCATTTTCTTACTGCCTAGAAATGTAGAATTTGTGACCATGTTGTAACCTCCTGAAGGACAGTGTGCATGGAAGGTGTGCCCCATAAGCCCTTTCCGGATGAGTGAATGAGCAGGTGAGTGCATAAATGCTTAGAAGGATACAGTCAAATGGGAATATAGTTGAGCTACACCACAATGAAACTCAATGCATTAAGAAAAGCATTATGCAACACCAACTATAGAAAAGCTCCAGTTGGGGCCAGGAGTTTAGCTCAGTGGTTTAAGTGCCTGGCTGCCAAACAAAAAGTCAGAAAGGTCATGAGTTCGATCCCTGGCACCAAAAACAAGCAAAAAAAAGAAAAGCTCCAGTTATCCATGGTAACTGAAAGAAGCAAGAACACTAATGTTTTATACATGTTTTATACTGACATTGAAATATTAGTTTATCTGGTGCTACAGGAATGTAAGAAGAAAGTGCTCCATAAAGACCTAACCAAAAGAAGAGCTAAAATGCTTGCTGGCTTCCCTTTGTCTCTGCTGTTCTTTGCTCACTCTAACATCACTACTGACTCTTTATTGGTGATGGATGAAGACCATTGCACAAAGAACAGGAGCTGAAGCTGTGTTGGTTTCATTCTCTGGGCCTGAAGTGGTTCGTGGTTTATGCTTTCTACCTAGGGTTGGTGATTAGACAGCTGAGAAGAAAACTCTCCTTGGTTTTTTGTTTGTTTGTTTTTGTTTTGTTTTTATTGTTATTGTTGGTCTTTTTTTTTGTTTTGTTTCATTTTTTGCTTTTTGGCAGATGCTGGAAACCAAAAAAAAAAAAAAAAAAGGTAAGTACAAATTAAAAGCTCGTGGCATCAGCTTACTATACAAGGTAGCTGATACCAAAAATAACTTGAAATCAAGACCAACCAAGATAAGCTAGAATGGAGCTGATTTGCCTTCAGATAACCAGCAGGCATCTACTTTCATGCCCCACAATCATGCATTCAACAACTAGTGCTCAGCTCTGCAGTGTGGTGGCTGAGGGCATGGTCCCTCGAGTCAAATGTCCAGGGCCTGTCTCTCACTGCTGGGACTCCCCCCAGGTGTGATTCCATTTCCTCCATGAGAAGATATGAAAATTAAACGAGGTGATCCATATAAAACACAAAGCTCTCTGCCAGCTCATGACAAGCATTTCCTACAGGTGGCAACTCCTGGCTGTGTACTAACTTCATGTTCCACAAAGATACACAGGAGATAAGACTCATATATCTCTGTCTTGACAAAGTGCTAAGAAGTTCCCCAAAAAAATAAGCCAGCTTAGATGAGGACATGCTAAGGATGCTTTCATTCTATCAAGCACTTCCTTAGGTTCCTCAGGTAAATCCCTGCATTGAATTTTCTTTCTCTTTCCTTGTGTATCATGGTCACTTTCAAGCTTTAAAAGTAACCGTGCCTTTAGATCACATGATTTAATAAAAATTATCATGCTTCTAACAAGTCAATATTACTTTCATTTACATATTCTTAATATATTTTAGAAAATTTTCTCACATCTCTTTAAAACTTGCATTCTAACAAGGAATGTACACAAAGCTCATCTTACCTACCCCAGTTAGGTGAAGGAGTTATGTCTAGGAGGAAACAGATACCTTGATTGGACTCATCAGCCAAGGGTATTCTGGAGATGGAGATCTAACCTAAGTGTCGGTGATCAGTGCTATTGTCAATGACTGAATGTCATTGCTGTTACTATCAACATGAATCTTGGCTTTTCTCACTAGAGGTCTCAAGCATTTTATACAACATGACAGCTCTCAGAATTGCATATGTGCTGTAGATCACATGGTCCTCTGTGACAAAAATCAAATGCTATCTGCAAATCTGCAAATTTGTTGTGGCCCTTGGAGCTATACTTGTTATGTAGTTTAGAGCCGGGGTCGAATAAGACTCTTTCTGCTTCTTCCCATCAAAGTTCAGAGCATTTTGTAGGTTTGGATTCTTATATGCCACTTATAAATCAAGTAACTAGACATTACTCCCATCCTGCAGAATAGGAAACAGGGGGAGGAGAAGCAGCGGCTGCTAGCAGGCTGTGACAGGACACAACCCTTTCCACCCTCGCTTTGTACCTCACTGTAACTGAAAAAGCCCAGCTGAGAATCCATCTGAACATATGCACCTCTGCTCATCAACAGCGCATGCCCCTGAATGTAGGAATGAACTACAGGCCTGGCTAGCTCCTAGGTCCATGAAAATTTGCCTTAACTGCTTATTGAAGATGTCCTATCCAATCGCACCACCCAACTTCTAATCCTACTCCAGTGCTCCTTGGACTACCACGTTCCTTACTGTCAGCTCAACAGATTTCTTCAAAGAAATCAGAAAAATGAATTTAGAGCACAGAACTATTCAACAATTTTGGTTGAAATGCTTTAAATTCAGAAATTTTGTTTCTGAATCATTCAAAGAGGAGCATAGTATGCTTGGAGCCAGAAAACTTAATTTATTAATTCTTCTGTTTACAGTATCCAGTGTTATTAAACAATGACTTAATTGAACTCTGAACTCTTCTTAATCTGCAGGAAAGTAATCCTTAACTACTTCAGTGGGTTGATCAGTGTCTCAGAGGTAATAACCATAGTATTAATAATTAATACTTAATGAACGCATTCTCGGTCTTTATCTGTTATTGTGTATGATAACACCCAACTTAAATGAAAGCTAAGCATGCACAGATGTGCCATGATAGATTTGTTTATTCTCAGCCATATTAATTAGTCCCTCCTAAAATGCCATGAGGGAGAAACAATTATTTTTCTACTATACATTTGAGGAAAATGAACCACAGAGAGGGTAAGTAACTAATCTAAAATTCCACATGTCAATTATTGGAACCAGGTCTGTCTGACTCCAAAGCCTATGCCCCAAAATACTGTGCCTTGCCACATTCCTTGTTACCCCTAAAATAATATACAAATTCAAAACCAATGTATTATTGTTCCCATATGTCGTGAACCTTATAAATTGTATAGCTTGTGAAAAGAAAAGAGGAATTACATAAGCAAATAAAATGGTGTGTGATTTCCCAAGCTTTGTTTCCATATACCTCTATATTAAATTCTTCCCAAGACTTAAATGATTACTAAGGTCCGGTGAGAATCTAAACCCAAGGAGAAGAGGATACATCTCCATCACATTAGCATTCTTCTTGACTCTAAGAGGAATAGAATGATGGCTCTCAGACACACAGGAAATTCCTCTTCTCTAGGAACTTACCCAAAATTTCACCATTGGGTGATTGCACTTCCTCAGCCAGGGCATGCTATAGTCTGGGGAGTGTCATTAAACTCCTTTGAAGCCCAAGTTCTTCAGGAAAAATCTGACTATACACACACTCCTCAAGGGCTGGCCAGGTTTCCCCTATGAAATAAGAGTTTCTGGCCACCTAGCTCCACAAGTGACCATCCGAGAGTCCATGCTGGCTGTCTGTGATAGCAGAGACTGACCCACATGGGCAGCAACTGTCAGACTAGGACTAGTTTTTGAACCCTGTTATAAATTTTCTGTTCATTTTCTTCTTATTCTCCATTGAGTAAGAGTCAAAATTAGAAGTCACTTTTGTCTTTTTTTAAAAAATACTTTTAGACTCCAGTGAAGCCTAACTCCTTAGAAATATGCTTCTGTGAGATCCTAGGCATGATTATCCTTAAGGTGGAATTATTAACACTACTCACCATGGTTGAGCTGTGCAGGCTTTTCATTGCTGGTTCCCTCTGGTGCTGGCTCTGTGCAGCAAGGTCTTTCTGGTTATGGCCTCCGGGGTATGCCTGTGTGTGTCAGTGAGAATACCTGTTGGTTTTATAGCAATCAGTGCCCTTGTTTCAATTGACCTGTTTACTGTCTTTAAGTTGTGGTTGGCCCAGAGTTACTGACGAATGCAGTTTTTTTTTTTTTTTTTAATTTTTTTCTATTCCACTTCCTGAAGGGAAACCAAAGAGGGACCCTAACGGGGGATGACGGAAAAAGGATTAAATCTTCCTCTTCTTCTACCCTACTTCAGCCCCCCTTAACTGACTACAGAGATGAACCAAAGGATGAATTACTGTCATGATCGTATAGATTCTTCCGCAAAATATCATCACCCTTGTCACGCATTGTATGCTCTACTTTCCAGACAGGCAACATGAACCATGATTTAAATGGGAGATATATCATTTTACTAAGAATTATATTAAACAAGAGGAAAGTCTTTATTCCATTTTATGAATGGATAACAAAACCCAGAAAAATTACATCATTGAGAGACTCAGAGATTATATCACCAGATAGATTTGTGATAACTAATTTTCTTTAACCCTATGATTAGACTCCAACTAGTACTTTGTCATCATTATTCATTCAACTTAAAAATGGCTATTTATCCCTGCCATCTCTGTTTAAGGGTCTCTTTTTCTTTTCCACCAAAATGAATTAGCATACAGAAGCATTTACATGCCCTTACTTGTGATATTTTGAATGATGGGCAAACCGTTCCTTTTTTTACAGTTTGGTTAGGTAAACATTTATGAAGCACACGCTATATGCAGGTGTTATACCCCAGGGACATACAGACGTTTTCAAAAGAACCCCAATAACTTTTTAAATCTCTGTGAGGACCACATAAAATTACACATGTTCTTTTTCAAAAAGCAGAACATTCTAGCAGAGCCGTTATTTTCTTCTTTTGCAACATGCCTGAACAACTGTCCTTCACTTTCTCTAACTGGAGAAAGAGAGAGAGCTACCCTTGGGCTCCTTGGAAAGGCTTCCAAAGTTGATCGAGATTCTGCGGTCCACATCGCTCCTTTCCTCCCTGTGGAATCTGTGCAGGCTTCTCCCCCGAAACAATCAGAAATTTAACACCTAGGAGAGGACTTTCTCAAATTGCCTTCTCAGGCGTGGTTCATTCCTCATGACCACTTACTTCATATTGCATCTGTCTGCTACTTACCTGTTTTAGGGTGCTTCTTTTGGTGGTTTGTAGATTTGGGGTAACATTAGCCCCTCCCCCATAACCTCTACCACCTCTATCTACAAATACACAATCTAAATGTTAACACTGTATTTTTTTCTATGCAAGCACAAATTCAAGACTAGTGTGCTTGCTAACCCCTTCTAGCCAGACTGAAATTCCTCAGTCTACCTTATAGAAAATTTTAAGGCTCATCAGATACAATCTTCCATGCACACTGTGAAGCTAGCTTCGTGAAACCAAGAAGCGTGCTTTTAGCTTACAACTTTGCTTGTATCACTCATGCTACCAAAGCCACATGTGAAACAGACCCTTAATTTGGACTAAATTGAGTGGGTTGAGTTGCGCATTTTCTCCACTGGTCTGCTCCATGCAGAGTCACCCCTCAATGCATACTCTGTTGGAGGGATACTCCGGCTCTCTTGAAGAAAGGAACAAGTAAATCACTTGAACGGAGAGTACTTTGTTCAATATCAGAGAATTTTCTGGGTTGCAAAGTAACTCCTTACATAAGAAAGAAGCAACATTGACCTTTATGACCAATGGTCACAAAGTCTCTCCTCTTGGGGTAAAAATAACTATCTTATCAAGGTGCCAAACTAATAGGAACTGGCTAGTTTAACCAAGTATAAACAGAATCAACAAATCCAAATAATTAGTTCATATAATATTTATTGAGTATTTCCTGTAATGCAATCATGTGATAATATTGAGAACATAATAATGAATATACAGTGAGCATATGTCTGAATATGGAGTCACTGACTAGCCTTGTAATACCTGGGCCATGTTGTCACCAGTTTTGAACGTTGCAGTAATCCATCAGAACTGTCATGCAACATACCAAAACTTCCAAGAGCCTATAGAACAAGGCATTAGAAAACTCTGTAATTCTAGTTTTTAGTTACACACAGATTTGTAGGTAGTAAAATGGTATAGCTAGTCAAACATTAAGATCTGAAGGGTTTTTATTTGTTTGTTTGCTTGGTTTTTTGATTGTTTGTTGACTGTGTTAGGCCTGGAACACAGGGCCTTGTACAAGCTTAGGCAGAAGTTCTGCCAATGAGTTACATCCCCGGTTGTTTTTATGTTTTAGGATCTCATTAAATTGTCCAGGCTGCTTCATATTTGCTATCATCCTTCCTCAGACTCCTGAGAAGCTAGGATTATATGTATAAGCAGCAGGCTTGTTGAATGTTTCATGATGTCCTTGGAGCTCCACCATATCATTGAAAAATATGGTGACTGTTTAAAATTTTAATTTATTACACATTGCCAGTAGTACCCCTCAAAATACCTTACTTTGAACACAACTAGTCATTCTTGCCACTTTCTAAAGCAGTTCTGGAAGTCCTTTTTATGTCTTTAGTTGCAACTCATGACTGCCTCAATACCTGGTATCAAATCAAAACATTTAGCTTTCATGGTCATTTTGACTTTGAGGAAGAGCCAGAAGTCAGTAAATAAGTGCCAGATTCAGTGCATGGGAGTGATGAGGGCGGTACTGTTTTTACAGGCCTGCCTTTCCATTAGATGGCACTTGAAAGCTACATTCACCACTGTTTTGACACTCATGGTAGAGGAACTGCTTCAAAAGTAGCACCAACAGTGGAGTAAGTCTGAAGCCAGGAGGAGCACTGTGAGGAAGGTTAACAGCAAAGTGCCTCGTACTGGAGTGATTTCTTTTAATTTAAACTTTCAAAATATATTTTGATCACACCTTGCAAATATGTTTGTTGAAGCTACTATTGTAGGTAATAGACTATACAATCACAGCTCTGCCTTAATAAGCTTAAAATCCAACATAATGACATGAGGTTATTGGGGATATTGATGGTGTAAATGTCCACATTTAGTTTTATATAAATCCTACTTTGAAAGGTTTTATCCTCTTTCAAAAATGGTGACTCTAATGATGACTCTAATGATCATCTGATCATCTAATCATCTAATCTATGATATGCTGCCATATCATTGAAATATATCAAAAGATACAGAGTTGATGCCACAGTTGAGGCACTACCATAACGTAAGGATAAGTTATCCTTATGGTATCATAACAATGGTCAGGTGCAGCTGTAACCATAAGGACAGTCAAACTCTAAGCTGGAGAAATAACAATCTGTGCTTTATAATGGCAAAATTATTGCCTAGATTATCCTGAGAAGCAGATCTTGAACCAAATAAACCTGTAGCTCTAGAGAAAGAAACTGGAAGAAAAGAACACTAGTCAGGTGTGTTAGAGACTATTTTCTGCATGTGACAAAAAAATGCAAGAAAGAGGTGAGCTCAGGAATGAGTTGACAAGTTTCCAAACAAAACAGAATTTTAAAAATCCAAAAATGTACTGCCCTGCAAGATTAAAGAAGCAACTATTTCTATGCTCCAAAGTGAAAGCCAGCATTGAAAAGCTTTTGAGAGATAAATATGCACTAAAACTTTTCAGGCAAATAAATTTCCTAAAGGCAAGAATAAGACTGAAGCATGAAGTAAATAGTTTTAATTAGAATAGAATTCAGAATAAGAGGCTGTTTCTCAAGTACAGTACTTAAGCACCAATCACTGGATAGGGCAGTGGTTATGGTAAAACAAAGCAGAAGCAGTGCCAGCATTGAAGAGTTTGCACTTTAGTGCAAAAGACAGCAGTGGGCCTTTCCAAGAGCCAGTGAAGAGAATCGAGAAGCCAAACCACACCTTCCCAATGAGCCAGCAGCAGCCAAGGGGGATTGGGAAGGAACTCAAGAGGCCAAATCACACTTTCCCATGAGCCAGCCAGAGCTTAGGTTAGTGGACAGGAAAAGCAACCCCCACTTCCCGCCCCATAAGCAACTGGCTGATTCAGAGGAATTCAGGCTGAGATGATAGCAACTGAATTTAAAAAAATATTAATAACTTAATGCTCGTATTATTTGATTGACTTTTCAGGCCTAAAAGCTGGTAGTCTGAGTATCTATTTGGCGGATAACAATATGCATTAGAGCAACTATGGGGGATTTCCTTCTATCTTGTTTAGAAATCCAATGTTTCATTCCATTTTATTGTTTTGTTTTATTCTTGTATCTGGTAACCTGAGCAACTATTTTGAAGATATATACCATTTAACAATCATTGTTAAATTCCTATCAGCTTGTTTTGAAAACCTATATTACTATTGGTTTTTCTTTTTCCCAAGATACAAGTCACTGTACTCAATCATTATGGCATTCAAAGATCACTAAAGTCATGGTCAAAATGAGCCCAGCTATTGCTGTCACTGGGAGCAGACCTCGGTGTCTTCTCTATGGTGCTGGTTTTATAAACACAGAATGAAAATATTATGGGGTCATAGAGACTTCCACACAGATTTCAAAAGAATGCGTAAGAGGCCAGCAAAGGTGTGGCAGGAGCAGAATTCCTTCAGATAGCCCTTAAGGGGTAATACATAAAGCTGTGAGAATGAAGCAAAGCCCGCAGTGGAAACGTCAGAGAGCTGGTAGTGCCAGGAATGTGGAACATCTGCCCTGCTGGGTTTTGGTCCCAGTAGTTTCTATCCTTCTATCGCTACCTTTTGGGTTTTTTCCATACCAGAAATCAAACTCGTGACCTTGATCTTGTGCTTGCTAGGCAGGCACTGAACCACTAAACTATATCCCTGGCCCTATACCTTCCTTTTGGAATGGGAATGTTTGAAAATATATGACTTGCTTTTTAATGTTACAAGGGCTCACAACTGAGAGTTTTACCTGAATTTCAGAAGATATTCTGGTCTTGGCCATTTGAGGAAGGGAGAACTACTGAGACTTTGGGAAGGAAATTCATGTTTTC